GGGAAAAGGGAAAAGGGGGGAGAGAGGGGGGGGGGGGGGGGGGGGTCGACAGCGTTGGACGCTGCTTCCGTAGACTCGTATACCGCATGATCGGTAGTACTGTTTGAGAAACTCATCGTTCGTCCTGCCGATCAAAGGTGGCTGTTGCTTGGTTTTCAAATACGACACTTTGTGTGTGTGTGTTGTGTCGTATGCCGTGCCAAGGCCGGCGGGATTTGGGTTTTGTTGTTGTGAGGACGTTTTTTCTGTTGTGGAAGGTCGTGTGGGGGGTTGGCTTCTGGGGGTATATCCATTCTCGGTCGTTTCAGATCTCGAGCTCTACTATCTAGAGCTTTCCGTTCCGCCCTTACCCTCGCGCACGTAGTCGTGCGGCGTGGGTCGTGTTGTCAATATTGTCTTGCCCGGTTTTCACTCGGGTGTCATGCGGGGGTGTTGTTGTGATGAGGGGAAATGGGTACTTCCGACGGTCGGTCATGGATTTTACTCGTGGGCGTCATAGCAGAACACTCTGCTACTACTACTACAGCTTGCAGCCACACATGCATACATCCTGTAGATGTGGAATGGAAGGAATCCATAGCGTAGCGTGTGCTGTGGTCATCGTTTGCAACGTTTTACAGCAACAGTATCGAAGCTCTATAGTTCTGATAGCCGAGCCTGTCCGACGGTCAGTGGGGTTAGAAGACTTGGGACGACTGTCGATTTTGTTGGGCATACCATGCTACTGGTGAGGAGGTCGTCGTCTGTGCGCTACAGCGGTCAGCCTGCAGCTGAGAGACAATGAACGGCGAAAATTTTGTGCTTGGGTAGGGATGGCTCCGCGAGGAGATGGTAGGTTGTGGTAACATTGGAGTTGTAGGAACGGCTGTAGGAATGAACATCATGACCGACCAGTGTGCTGTAGCAACATGGCGGCACCAATAGCACCGCCAGAACGGGGCCATAGTATCCCTTTAACCGGAGGACCAGGAGGCTGTCATGTAGGCCTGTACATCCGAGCGAAGTTTTGTCATCTTCTCCTTGTCATTCGTGTAGTCCACATGTCAAGGGGGGGAAGGGCGACACATTCATGCGGTCCGGTGGGGGGGGGGTGTACTTAATTTTGTTGCTGGAAAACAGGCGTGTGTGTGCTCTGTGCTTGTTTGCTTTTCCATGGTTGACGGGTGGGTGTGCTGTTGTCCCGGCGGTGTTTTTTCCTCCCTCTTTGTGGTGTTTGTTGTGATGGTGTTTTGTCTTGTTGGATATTGTTGTTGTTGTTGTTGTTGCTGTTCGTGGCGCTGCTCTGCGTGGCTCGGTGATGATATGGTCTTGTGCTCGTTGATTCTGGGGTATGAAACAAACCAGAGAACGCAGCGTATCCAGTCGACGTGGTACTTGACGTGGTTTTCGTGATGTTCAATTCAAAGCATGAACTGTAGTATCAAGGAAACTCGTTGTCCGGGTGTGTAACTTTGATCAGCGCGCGCTGGGTTGTTTCGATGCTGCCGTCTCTTCGTTGTTCAGTGTCCGGAAATCGTGAGCAGACAGAAGTAGGTATAGTAGACTATGCTGCTGAGTTTTCTTCGTCAAGTTGGTTACAACGAGCGGACCAGTTTCCAAGGTCGTGAGTTTTGGGTACGTACGTGTATGTGTATCAACCGTTTTAGTGTCAACGCAGAACTCTCGTTTCGTACACGCAGTCTGTCTAGACTATATTCAAAAGTTGAAAAAAAACATTAGTCTAAACAGATGATTTTTTTCAATTTTTGAATAAAAAAAAACAAAACCTGGAGTTTGCACCGAGTACTACTTCGTGGGTCTCCCACACTTTCTACAGTTTTCCCAAACGACCCATGGGTGACCCATGGGCATGCCCATGCCCATGGGCTTCCCATGGGTAGCCCGTGGGCAGCCCATGGGCGGCCCATGAGCAACCCATGGGAAGTCCATGGGCGGCCAATGAGAGCCACTCAATCGAATCAGTGTAATCCTAAACCATAGAATATTTTCTTTGGAACGGGCCCTAGCGGCAAATAACCCTAACGCTAACCGTAACCGTAACCCCAAGCCCACACGATACGTGCTAGGTCGGCGCTCGCGGCTAAGTTCTAGGTTGATATGAAGGTGGCGAAGTGCTAGGTTGATATGCCGGTGGCCAAGTTCTATATTAGGTTGAAGTGCCCACGGTGGGCTCTTCATGGGCCACCCATGGGCCGCTCATGGGGCATGCCCATGGGTCACCCATGGGCGGCCCATGGATGACCCATGGGTGTCCCACGGGCGGTTTAACAAAACTGTCAGTAGTGTGGGAGATTGATCAGCCAAGGCTCGATATTTCGTAGTTTTTTCGAGGGTCTTTGCGAAAACGAATTCCGGACACATATGCCCCACTCCCCTCCCTCCGGAGGGGGGAGAAATTCGAAGAGTTGCCACGAATCATCGAAACGTTACCGTACCATGAGGTTAGATGGACTGCCAACATGCCTCGCTCTCGTTACCCCTTCCGCATCTGCTCGTCAGAAGCGGGTCCACCCTCACCCAGCCGTGCTACAGAAAACACACACACGGTAGCGCCCCATATCTACAATAAAAGTGCAGTACATCGACCAAAGCTCGACATGAGCGAAGCAGCTCACAGCTAACCACCATCCAACACAACCACCTGCCTCGCAACCTACTTGCCTTTGTCGCTTCTAGCACTGCACTACAGGGCACATACTCTCGCAAATCTACTCGTAGCCTCAGTCCTGTAGGGTTACGTTTGACTTGATTAATCTACCCCGCTTACTCATGCGGACCCCTGCTTGCGAGTTCTCGCGCGGTGTCTCGCTACGTTCTCTGCGAGAGAGAGCTTCTGGGTTAGGGTTAGGGTTAGGGTTAGGGCTAGAGAGCCGGACGCCAAAGGGCTGACGCCTCGGCGAAAAAATCCGGGGATACACGGGTATATGTCCCGCCCCCTTCCCCCCTCCCCCCCCCTACGGAGCCCGATTTTCGATTAGTAGGCCTATGTGTCTTGAATTTGTTTCCGTGCATACCCTTGGTTTTTTATTTTGATTGTGGGAATGGAGCGCTGGTAAGTTTCAGGTCTATCTGTGATCCCGCCGCCACCCTCCAACCATCCCGCATGGCATGGGTGGGCAAAGTCCGCAATACTTGAGCACCCAGTACACATTACGACCGTATGTCACTGTCCTGTGTTTTGTACGAGTACTACGTTGTGGCGGGTGGCGAAGCGGGAGCTGTAACACTCGAAAGGATTCGTCGTGGGTCCCACCTAGCTAGGTGTTATCAGCTCTCTTTCTTGTGCGTGCGGAGCACGCTTGATGCAGCCTTGTTCGGTGGTGAGATGCCCGCCGAGGCTTACCGAAACCGCGTGGGTCCCCGGAGTCCCACCCATGCAAGTAGCCGCGCGCCCTGCGCGTGGATCAGGTGCTGGCGGCACGAGAGTAGCGGCGAGAAAATCGTGCGTCAAACATTTTGATCATGGTTGGGGTTGAAATGACAAGAAGAGAGTTTCGGGTTCGTTCGTGTTGTTGTATCGTACCATTTGCGGTTTGCCGTTGAGATTTTCATACTCCGCCGTTGCATCTCGTGCACAAGTCTACTGTACAGTTTTCCTCTTCTACGCGGACATAGGCATGCAGCGTGTGTATCCTCCTGTACTTAGTCTGGTTTCGCTTTTTCTTTGTTGTGGTGGTAGTGGTGTAAGGGCTCGCCGCGAAGTTCGTCCTCAGCGAAGTAAAGTCTTTCCCTGCATTCATTCGAACATATTGTATGATAGACTACATTCAAACGCGATTTTCTAGTTCTTGTTACCAGAGACCCCTGGTGCCTTTTACCAGACAATGTTGTGGTATTTGGGGGTAGCCATGTGAGGATGCGGTACTATGGTTTGGCGTCGTCAGACGCTTTGTTCTTATGACATCATGCAGAATTGCGGCTTTCTTGTGCCGAGAGTCTTGTGCGCTTTGATTCGGTGTGTGTGCGAGCCGGGTCCGATCGTCTGCGATTGGTGTGGTATTCGGCTGGCGTGGATTCTGGCTGCATGGTGTGCGTGCGAGGAGGAACAGACGGGATCGTCAAGGAAGAACAACAAGGAAGCAGAAACAACCTACATCTGTCTGTCGGTCGACCAAACGTTCCCACACACAGCTTTAGGGTGTTCTCGTGGCACGTCAATGCTTCCATGGCGTTTCGTCTTTACCCTGCAAGGTTTCTTTGGCCTCTCTTGCTTGTTTCCCCCGGAAACGGGTCCCCTCTTTCGGTGCGTTGTTTCGATGCTTGATAAAACCTTTCACGCCGATATTTCATGTCCGTTAGGCAATCTCCCACACTACTGGCAGTTTTGCTAAACCGCCCGCGGTTACACAATCTCCCACACTACTGGCGGTTTTGCTAAACTACCTATGGGCACTTCAACCTAGAACTTCTCCACCGGCATATAAACCTAGAAGTTAGCCACGGCACTTCAACCTAGAACTTAGTCACCCAGTGTCAACCTAGCACGTATCGTATGGGCTTGGCGTTGGGGTCAGTGTTAGCGTTAGGGTAATTAGCCGCAATAATGCCCGTTTCAAAGCAGAAAATGTATCGTTTTGGAGTACGTTGGTTCCGGTTGAAGGGCACTCATTGGCCGCCCATGGGCGGCCCATGGGCTGCCGACGGGCTACCCATGGGCTTGCCCGAGGGCATTCCCCATCGGCTGCCCATGGGTGTCCCATGAGCGGTTTAGCAAAACTTTTGAAAGCGTGGGAGACCCTGGTTACATGACGGTCCAGATTAGGTCGTCTGTGTTTCGCTTGGTGGTGTATTTTTATGTCTCTCTGCGCTCGTCTCCTAGCCCCTCCTTCCTGTGAGGTCTTGGCCTGCTTGAATTGAGTTCTCGGCCTGCTCGTTCGTGCGAGATCGTCTGATTTTTTTACCCCTTGGCGGCTTTGTTACTTCGTGTTTGGCATATTTCGGTTCGATGCTTTTTGTTATTTTCGCACCCCCCCCGGTGTGCCTTTTCCCCCATTCTATCCGCCGACTTCGCCGTTTCCGGCTATTACTTTGTGGTCCTCTTCGTCTTTGATTGTACTTTTAGTTGTCGCATCTTCGATCCCATCCCCATATAGAGGGCGTGAGCTCGTTCGCCTCCATCACACGACCATCCGGCCCACGGAGCGAGGGAGGGTTGGTTGAAAATGTCCACGAGTTTGAGTGGCATTCAACTGTCACGTCCAGAGGGTAGCAAATTCCCTCGAGTTCAACGCCATCCAACTTCAGAAACATCGTGTGTGTCCCACGACCGCCGCATCTGGAACAACGCAGGCCCGCAAGCCGCCAAAGAAGCGCGATCTCCATAAGAGCGCGATCTCCATAAGAGCGCCAAAACATGTCGGGGAGGCGAAGAAATTTTGGGTGGTCACGAGGGCGGGCCCCATCATCACGAAAAAAACACTCACCCCAGCGACGAGCAGGAGGCGACAGGCGAGCACTTTCCAGGTGTCGAGGCAATCGGCGGCGATCGATCATGCAAGTTCCCACAGAATCAGTCCCAGAGAATGCACGAGAAGAACCTGAGTCCAGCCCGGCCCCCCGCGCAAGTATGCTGGGAAGTGGCAGTCGCCCCCCCCCCCCCTGCCCCCCATATGCCAAAACCCGGGAGATGTACGAATCGGAGTCCCATGCTAAAAGGGTACCACCGACAAGATCGGGCCCATGCTCAAAAGGGGAGGTTGATCGGCACGAACAAGCGTGGGTGCGACGAGGCGTACGCCGAGAGAATGATCGCCAGGGGGGTAAAAAATATGCATGCCGGCAGACCCAACAACCTCGTCATGACCCGGTGGTGGCCTCCCAGCTGCTGAAACGACGTCGCCAACGCGCTGCCGTTTTGGCGAAAAGGGGCTCTGGGGAAAAGGGTGCTCCTCGCCGATACTGTAGCATGACTCGGCGGAGTCTTAGTAACCAGCTAGCGGGAGATATTAAAGAAGACGCCGAACTTCCATCAACGCTAATAATCCAAGCACGGTTTTACCGTTTGCCGACCTTTTGGACGCGTTGGCGGCATCCAGTTGGCGTGCGGATACTTCGTTATTTCTATGCCCGAAAGGGTATGAAAGGGGATTGGCTTCCGCAAGGGTATGAGTACCCTTAGTTAACAGATAAGTTTTGCTTAATGTCGGTAATCTGGGAAAATCTGGCGTACCCACCCAGAAAGCACAAATCTCTTCTCGAACACGCTCCTATCCCAGCATTGATCGAACGGGCGCACTTCCGACCAAGAAACTTGCTTGTGTCTTGGAAAGTTTCAGCACGCGACCAAAATTTTGTCACACGTTGTTGTTGCTGTATTATCCCCGAACAAACAACTTTCTGACCTTCTCCGGACATCTCTACCGTATTGTTATTGTTCACCACATGAGTAACGCACCCCTAGGACGTCGAAAGCCGAGGAGGGGGGAGTCCTGTTGTATTCTGTCTCCATACTACCGAGGATCGTTTATTTTTTTAAGTATTGGATTAGATGAGGCTTCCTGCGCCGGACTGTGGTCCCGCCCCGTCCTTTTGCTGCACCCGTTGGCTTTACACAATTTGACCACACGTCCGGCGCGAGATGATCTCACCCAAACTTCATTGTACACGTCATGGCACCGCTCTCAACGGGTCCGCACATGAGGCGAACTCTTGTTGGAACGCTGCCAGGACGGCGCTAAGTAAGGTCGGCGTAGCGCTTTCCCGCAGGACCGCTCGCCACCTTACCCACACCAAGGAGCGGTGGCCACAAGAGGACCGCCTCCGCGGGAAATTCAGTATTATAAGGAAATAGAACAGGGAGGGGGTTCGCAGACAGACCCCGTTTTCCCTAACCCTAACCCTAACCCAACTTCCCCGATTGTATGCTTTATCCAACATCTTTCCAGAAAACAAAAACCCTGCGAAGGGTACTGCCACAAGAGCACGTCACCACTGACACCGCACGCCACGCCAAACGTCTATTCCATATAAGCTGAAATCAAACCATTAGACCTAGGCTGGTCAGCGCTGACTGGCCTTATGGTTCGATATCAGCTTATTCTATACCTCCGACCTCCAGGATCTAGTCGCACCGCCGCTCCCACCATGGGTTGGCCTAGGGTACCTCCCACGCGAGTATTTTACGACGAAAGGTACAACTACCTATAGTGGTCTCTTTTGATTTACAATGGGGAGAAACAAAAAAACGATGAGCATTCCGCGCTACCATAGGTCTGCACGGATGAATCCTCCTCCTCCTCCTCCTCCTCCTCCTGGTGGGTGTATTACAACCACCCGGCCTGGTGCTACTGCTGCCGCCATGTTGCTACGTTGTAGACGTGTTCCTACTGCGAAGCCATAGCCCCCGCGAAGCCATATCCCTGACCAAGCACATCATCGTCAGAGCTTTCACCGTCACAGCTGTCGCAATCAGAATCACCGTCAGAGCTATCATCGTCTCCAGAGTCATTGTCGCCCTCGCTAACAGTGCTGGTGGCCTCCTCGTAGTAGCTGGAAGTGCTGGTGACCTCATCGTCCTCGCTCACAGTGACAGTCGTAAGCTCATCGTCCTCGTCCACGGTGCTGGTGACGTCATCGTAACCCCTAATATACGTTTTGCTGTCATCATCGTAGTAACTGGAAGTGCTGGTGACTTCATCGTAACCGCCCACGGTGCTGGTGACGTCATCGTAACCGCTACTGTAAATTTTGCTGTCATTATCGTAGTAACTGGAAGTGCTGGTGACGCCATCATCCCCGCTAACAGTCATGGTCGTCGCCTCATTGTCCTCGCTAACAGTGCTGGTGACGTCATCGTAAGCGCTAATATACGTTTTGCTGTCGTCATCGTTGTAGCTGGAAGTGCTGGTGACGTCATCATAACCGCTATAATACGTTTTTCTGTCATCATCGTAGTAGCTGGAGGTGCTGGTGACCTCATCGTCCTCGTAGCATGCGTGGTCCCACGTGTCGATGGTGTCGTCGAGATAGTCGCTTTTGAGCGGTGGTCGTAACGTTGAGTGATTATGACGGTGGTGTTGGCGGCGGTGGGAGATATGTCGCCGTTGCAGGGACCGAGAGGAGACGATCAGACAGAACCGAGGAGTGGGTGGGTGGGCAGGCACCGGCGGGCAAGGTTAGGGTTTGGTACGTCCATCATACGATCGGTCGGTAGGAGGTCAACGTACAGCTCCCAACTTTCGTGCATATGGTACATACCCTCCGTGTGGTTTTGTCAAGAGCAATGGAAACGGCAGCAACGACAAATGTTCAACGACAACTGTCAACAACAACAACAACAACAACCGCGCAAGTAAGTATGGTTGTCAAGGAAGAGAGTGCCTCACCCGATCAACTGGCAGTCGTCACCCGCGCAGGTGTTGCCGCAAATGGTGCCCTGGCCGTCCACCATAATCTTGAGAGCGCCGAACCCGACGTCGTTGAAATCGTTGTCGTACACCTATCGGACCGGGTAGAAGGCGAGGTACGAAAGGATAGAAGACGACTCAATCGCAGGTTTCTTGATGTCGTGTTGGCGATAGATGCATGCTGCCCGGTTTCTGGACGTTATGCAGTCAACATAGCCAATTATTATACCCGACGGTGGTTGACGAGTCAAACTCTTCTGACGCAACAGCGACAACAAGAGCCAGCAACAACAAAATGTCCAACAACAACAACAACAACAACAACAACGACGACGACGACGACGACGACGACGACGACGACGACGACAACGACGGTGATGGCAACGGCGACGACCGGTACTACGAGGACGACACCAAGCGTGGCACTGCATCGTTTCGCCAGGCCACACACAGCAGCCGTGTCTACACGTCACGCGTAGGATCGCTATGTTGAGACATGTACTGCACTTGAACACGAGCAAGCCGGTTTCTGGCAACGGTCGAGCGAGGGAACTAAAGTGGCACGGGGTCGGGACGATAGGCTCAAGGTTGGCCCTCAATACCGCCCACCACCGGTACCACGAAGTAACTCACGCTGTTGCCCACACCGTATTGGAAGCCGTCCACTTCCCAACCGCCTAGCCTCACGCCGGCGCCCAAGCAGTCAGAGCCCGCGTTGTTGCTGTGTTTTTATTTTTCAGGTTTTCAACACAACGGCGTGGGATTTTATTCAAGACGTTCGTGACGCGCACATGGCGATAGGTTAGTGAAGGGTGGTATGGGAAAACGTAACTGGTGCGAGCTAACGTAGTAAGGACTACGGACGAGATCTTCGTGTGTCTTCGCCGATCGGGTTTTGTTCCTTCAGAGAAGATGGGGCACGGCTTCAGAAGAGCAAAGGGGACACTTTGTCGAGACGCCAAGAAATTACAGCTCGGACATGAAATATTTCAATATAGAATGCATCGTCCGCAATTCTGAGGGTATTGATAGATTCGTACGGCGACATGGGCACAATCGCAGGAAAGCGCACAAGCAAAGGTGGATTTATTAATATCTTGCGCGGAGTGCTGGCTAGCTCTGACACGAGAAAGAGCCGCGAAGCCAACGCTTGGCATCAGCAACATGAGCGGCCGGTCAGGCACTCGGCTCCCGTTTCGTTGAGGAGCTGGGCCTCAACAACCGAGGGTAGGGTCTGTCGCGCCCCACGTCCACGACCACCACACGCCCTCGAATGGGTGGGCTAATGTCGACAACACGGTGGTGGCCGCGGCGGAAGAGGGGGAGGGCTGGCCAAGAGCCGGAATAGATCTCGTATGTATATGTCCGACTTCCTTTGAAACCGTGTTCTGTACAAGCTACTTCCTACTCTCTTGTACAATGTCCGTCCGTGCGTCATCGTTCACCGATATCATAAGCGGCACCCCTGAGCGTCAGTCTCTGCATGCAGAACGCGCCCGCACGTAAGAAGCAGTTTAATACAATCCCTAATGCGGTAGACCGACACCGACTTCACAGAGCGACTGCCGAGTTCTTGACGAAGCACGTGCTCTCACGCAAGGGCGATGATACTTTATCTACACTAGTTTGTGGTGTCAATTGTTTTGGTTGGTGCGTGGCGGCGTGTGCTGTGCTGTGCGCGTGAATTTCCGTTCTTTGGGCTATGGTAAGGACTAGGAAGGCCTTTTGCTTACCGGAAGATGTTGTCGTTGCCTCGCGAGTTGTAGCAGCCGGAATTGATGTCCAGCTGGTTGTAGCACATGTTGTCCTCGATGACGTTACCGTAGGCACCCTCCTTGACGTCGACGCATTCGTTGGCGCTTGTGTCGATGACATTCCCGGCGACCAGGTTGTTGGTGCAAACATCCTCCTCCCCGTCCGGCCACTAGGCAGATAAGAGTGGAAGTGTGGTAGGTGGTTTATCGCCGAGAGGGTTGGGGAGGCGAGGGGGGGGCGTAGTCGTGGCCGGTTGTTGGTCAAGGGTAAGGCTTGCATGCCATTGTTGTTATTGTTGATATTGTCGTTGTCCTCTTCACATTAATCACCATCCCGGTCTCTTTGCTCGGCAACCTCTACCGCCTCAACCTGATGTGCACCTGACGCGGATGCCTTCCGTAGTCATAGACCAACCACCCGCAAATGGGCACATCTTGTCGGAACCATATTTCTGTAGGGTGACCTTGCAATCGTTTGCCCCCCGATCTGAAGTGCCGCATCTCAAGTGTTTTTTTGGGCTGGAGGGCAAAGGACGTGCCACGATTATCGTTCAAACGATTCTCGACATAACAGCAAGATGCCATCTCCATGTACTGCAATTTCATAACTACCAAATACGCAACCATACACCGGGGGCCACTTCTTGGAGCGTGTTTCAATTCAACGCGTCTTTTCTCTGCCGTTCGTTCCCTGCTACGTACAGTTTTTTTCACCTCATCGCTGGAAGTGCCGATGCAAACCCCTTGCCCGTTCATGTCCCCCGACTCGAACATGTAGTCGTGGATCCCGCAGTTGGTGATCGTGTTTGAGAATATTTTGGCGTTGGTCACACCATCTTTCAGGCGCACGCACTCTCCCCTTGAGAAGAGGCGTTTTCGGATGACGGGGCGAGGAGGACGTGGGGGCGCGCGTCAGCGTCAGGAGCTACGAGGTGGTGATGGATATTTGGTTGGTTTATATATTTTCCCGAAACTCGCCCGTGGGGGGCCCGTCATGCGTGACATATTCACCAGAGATGGGGGCGGGGGCAGGCAAACAACCAACATACTAAGCAGCGTACAGCGGTACCAACATCGTCCAACGGCGGTGCCACGCGAAAATATTCCAACCTCACCCGCAGTTCTGAACTGCCATTTCCTCCATGACGAAGCCGTCGAGAAAGGTGGAAGAGTCAGACCCAGGCCCTTGAACGTAGATGCAGTTGAGGACGTAAGAATCCTCGGTGACCTCAGTTCCGATCTGACCCTCCACGGTGAATCCCTGTGATTTGTTGAGGATACAAAGAGTTAGGGAAGATCGTGGGGGGCTTGAGAGGGTGGGGGTGGCTTACTCTGTTTCAAATGCGTTGTTGCGGTGGCTGGCCGTTGAACGGGTCGAGCGGTGCCTGGATGCAATGCCTTCTTCCAAACGTTCGGTAACGCAGTATCGTCCCATCCTTCCAGGCGTTCTTTCAAACTTGTGCAACACACTATCGTGTCATCAGTCCAGGCGAACCACCGGTTGGTGTGAATTTGCTGTTGAGCGTCCGATGGCTGCCCATCTACAGTTTCACAATCACTCAACCTCGGCGACCTACATGTATGTGCACAAATGAGCCCAACCCACGTTTGTTGGATGCGGCACCTCACCATGGGCGAGGCATTCGACAAACCATTTGTGGATGGTATGTGCGTTAATTCGGGGCTGATGACCGGCCAACGATTCAAGTACATTTATCATATTTTCGGACGGATGAAAGAATAAGGTGGGGTTCCGGGCGCGACAGGGTGTTGTGGCCCAAGACAACAGTGGTAGGCCGTTCTTTAGTGTGGGTATGCGCCAGGCCAATTCACCCGCCTATTGTAGGAACCGTGGTGCTAGGCCAATTCTGCAGAACATGGCGTACCTGGCGTACCTGGCTGAGGAGACGGGAGCGGGGGTGGGGACACCACTTTACAAAGTGCGGCAATCTCCCACACTACCGACGATTTGGCCAACCGCCCATGGGCGGCCAACGAAGTGCCCATGGAGTGCCCAGCGCGGGCATTTCAACCTTGAACTTCGCCACCGGCATATCAAGCTAGAACTTAGCCACCAGCGTCAACCTAGAACGTATCGTGTGGGCTTGGGGTTACGGTTAGGGTTAGCGTTGGGGTTAGTAGCCGCTATAATGCCCGTTCCAAAGCAGATAATATATTGTTTAGGAGTACACTTTCCGGTTGAAGGCCTCTAGTTGGCCGCCCATGGATTGCCCATGGGTTGCCCATGGGCCGCCCATGGGCTTCCCACGGGCTACCTGGGTCAAAACATGGGTACCCCATGGGCAACAACCCGTGGATCAACCATGGGTACCCGATGGGCAACAAAGTGCCCATGGACGTTTTAGCGAACTGTAGAAAGTGTGGGAGACCCCAGTGCGGAGGGAGATATCGGGGCTGAGAACACGCCCTGGCGCAGGGGATATCAAACCGATAATACACGAACACACACAGACATGTCGCGCCCACCGCGGATAACCCCACATGCTCACCTTGAGCTCGATGAAGCTGTGCCCAACGAACACTGAACGGCTGGCGCTATTCTGAGCCTTGATGATCGCCCCCGGCCCGCCGACCACGGTGATCGGGTTGCCGGATTCCCCGTCCCTCACAGTTTCCAGGGCTTGTTCGTAGGTCCCGTCCTGGAGGCTCACCGTGTCCCCGGCCTCAGCGAGATCCATGGCTTCGGCCAGACCAAACCCGTCGCCATCAACGGTCACATCGTACGTCATGGCCCGCGCTGAAGGGGAAAGAAACAGCAGCAGTGGCAGAGCCCTGAGTAGCACCGGCCGTATGGGGAGGCCGGAGCATGTTCTCCTGCTGTTGCAGCACGTTATGGGTGTTGTCATTGTTGTATGGTATCGTAGAAATGATTTGTTTCCTCTCGTTCGTTCTTGTCTTGTCTAGGCAGGTGATATTTTTGCAGAGGGCGGATTGGTAGTGCTGGGGTGTAGCGGCGGCGTTGGGCAGGAGATCGAGGTCTGTGTGGACGTGTGGATGCATGGATGGGTGATGCTGTCGGGGTTTTTTTACTGTGAATGTCAAAAGATCTGGAATGTTACCATCTGATAACCGAGATAAGATTCGACGTGAAACTGAGCTGAAATTTTTGGTATCACACATACACATATATGAGAGCTATTCGCACGGATGGCGTGCACACGCGTTTTCCACGACGACTTGGAGCTTTCGGCTTTCGGTGAATCATATGCCTTTGATGCTAAAGAGGTGGCCCACAGAGGCAGGGGCAGCGACCAGTTGCAAGTAAATACATACGCAGATTGGCGAGTTTCGGGTGTACCTTTTGAAAAGTTCACTTACTTTCACTTTTTAGGGAAAAGAGTCAGTTAATGGCCGCCATAAAAATCTTTCGACCCTAGGAAGATATTTCTAGCACGAAGGCCAGCTGGTGTCTGTTAACAAGAGTACAACCGGTGTTCGGATCCCACTGGGACCACTTGTGACGCCTTTTTTCCGAAAAAGTCTGGGATAGGCCTGAAAGACGGTTTACATGCCAGTCGTCCAAGTGAAGACACATATTCCCGCCCTGTAAGTCGATGAACCGCATGGGGGCAGCGCTGGCTACAGGGAATACAACCCTGGGGTTTACCAAGGTCCAACAGCTCTAACAGGCTGAAGGACCCCGGTTGTACTTTTGTTAAGATGTACAGCATATCCACTATGCTACAAGTCAGCGCTGACTTGTAGCATAGTGGATATGCTGACTTGTAGCATAGTGGATATGCTGTACATCTAAATCTCCACACATGTTACACACCGGCGTGCCCGGAAAAATGCGAATTCCCCTGTTGTTACAAACTTGTCCCTTCTTGGTCATATCTCATCATAGTTCAATAAGAAGACCGATGAGTGATGCCACATTAGGGGGGTGCACGTTTGAGGGCTAGGGTTAGTATTTTCGGAGATAAACGTGTCATTCTGTTTCAGTGACCTACATCGGTATCAGTATCTATGTACGTTGCATCCAAACGGTTTGGCGAGAGCCTGAGTGTGTCTCCCTGCCCGGAAGGGTAATATGAGGTGACCCCCCTGCCGTGACATCACTCCGCCCCACCCTTCACATCATATCTCCGTTAGTGGAAGCTCCTGTCTGTCAACCTCGCTCAAAAACCATCATTTTCGTAGAATTTCTACAGACTAGCATTTCTATGGACCCCCGCATCTCTCCCACGCGTCGTGGTTTCCCCACCTTCATCTATCTGCCTACTGGCGCCAGGGCCTCTCCTATTTTCACCGTCTTTTTCGGCCCGCAGTTGATATGCGCGAGGCTACGTACGTCCACAACGAAGGTCGCATAAACAAGACGACCGACTACAGACCATGTCGCCGACAAAGTCCACCACATCGCTTCTTGCGCAACTTCAACTAAATAAGGTGCAATATGCAAACCGGTCTTGGTTTTGAGGTCGTGGTGGACCATTACATGGAAGAACAAGATATGTGGGTTAATCATGTACGGCACATTTGCCGCTCACTTAACTTCGCTTCACCCTCGAATGACAGCTAGCTACCGCTTGGGCTGGAAGCTCGAATATTGAGCGTCATAACATGTAGTATGAGCCTTTGGCCGCGATTATTGCAATACGGTACGGCGGTACTTCCGGCGGATTTCCGTATTTCGCCGATACTTTAGGCTCTCTCTATCGCTCATACGAAGCAGAGTACGAGGATAACATCGGACATATTTCGTTTGGTGCTTAAGGTGGAAGCGCATGACCTCGGGCCGTCGCGGCCGTCGCCCGATTCATCGGCAATACATAACGGGCGCGGAGAAAAGAAACGTCAAAACCGGTCGAGGCTCTGTTAGTTTCGTACTATAACTACGTCGCCATTGTCGACCACAGGATGCTATATCGTGTTTAGTATAGTATATAGGGTCCACCGCTCAAGTGAGTTTCTTAAAAACTCCCATTTTCATGTTTCATATTCATTCATGCTTTTCGAGAAAAATCGAGCCTGCTCCTGTTTTTTAGCAAAATGTTTCTTGGATATGGGCCCGTGCTGTAAGTCACATGGATCCCTGGGGCAGCCCCAGCCTCATCTGACCCCCCCCCCCTGCTCGTTTTGCCCCAGCCGGCGTCAATCAGACGGGTGACAAGCTGGAGAAAGGCTCATCGTGAGAGATGATGAAATGATGTCGCGCAATTGAAGGCCGTGGTATTGACTGGCTCTCTCTCGTGGAGGACTACCGTACTACAGCAGTGCTTGGGGAGGATACGCGTGTGGCTCTGTTCACCCCTCCACCCCTCATGTCGATATTTTTGGTAGAATCATGAGAGGAGAAACATTGGAGAACTGAACCCTCTGAGGGTCGAATGCATGTCCATTGGTGCAATGATATTTCAAAAAGTGATGGCAAGAAAAAGGTAACCAGCATTTTCGTCGTCACGAAGTTATGAACAAACACGGGCGCTATCCCACTTATCAGGGGTCCACTCACGTCACACCGTCCAACGCACTCTACCTGCTTTCCATGCAACACGAACCCCGTGAGGCGAAACACGCATCATTCTTCCATTCACAACATGAACTCCAAGAGGCTAGACGTACGTGTACTCCAAGTACTTCAGACACACAGGGAGGCTAAACGTTTTGTAAGTGGCCTCCAAGTATACAGACACAGACAGGCAAAGAGCTTACTTGGTGCGAGACGTACGATCGCCAACCTTGGTGGGAGATGTACGATCGCCAATCCGCCCCCACGAACCCAGGTACGCCCGATTCACCGCCAACAAGCTGACCAACAACCAAGCACCATGCAATCGTGCTGAAAAGTCTGTACCCACCCCGCCGAAATGGATGCGCGCCGCGGTAACAGAATGCGGTCGATCGCCTCCCGAACGCAAAGAAAGCCAAACAACACATGGATAGACAGAAGAGGCAGGCGATCCATCTCGTACTGCCACTCAAGCTCGGGGAAACGTGAACCGCCATGCTTCCCCTCCCCACCCACCGAGTGATGCTGCTTGTACGGTTGGGGGGTCACGCCATCTTACACTTTCGGGTAGGGAGACAGACACACTTGGTGGAAGTAGTGTAAGATACGCAAACCTGTTGGTTGCAACGCTTGCTTCGAAGTAGGATCACCGAAACAGGAACGCACGTTATCTCCCATTAGAGCATGATGTCACCCCGCAAGTGCACCACCCTACCGTAGCATTCCTCCACCACCCTACCGAAACACCACACGCCCTGCTGCATCACACCTTCCCAACTCAAAATCGCATCAAAATTGCTTCCAGGCGCCCAAAAGCCCGGGTTCCTATCTACATGTATGTAGTCTGGACGACGATCGATGCCGCCGAACAGACGTATAAAAACAACGAACAGGAATTACTACGAGACTTGAGGTTTGGAAACATGGCGGTAACTGTAGTTGCCCCGTCCGGCTGCCCGCCACAGGTACTTACTGTTGATCGCCTGTTGAAACGCCGAAGACGAGTAGAAGCGGGTGAGGAAATCATACGATGGGACGGGGAGAGGCGGTGGTCACTCGAACAGTTCGCGATGAGAAAAGCATACATGCGTGCCGCCCACTCTTGCACTCGGCGGACTTTTTTTCAGAGGCACTAAGCTTTATATTGAGAATACGTTTCGCAGCGTAAGTTCGCCTGTGACCACGGCAGTCGATCATGTCAAGCGTTGGATCAGTACGGACAGAGGGAGGTTCTGGAAAAGAGAGAGATTGGAATGGTTTTCAATGCGACGACGACAACAGCAAGCGGGTGGGAATTTATGCCGGAGCGTGCGCGACGCTAGTACTCACTGCTGTTGTTGGTGGGGGTGCAGAAATCACAGCAGATTCTCTTGGCAGACCCGGCGAAGGAGGCTGGACCGTCTGAACTGAGAGGACCATGGGCGGATTGGTTCTTACGGGGGGGTTCGCACGAGAGATGTGTAAGATGTAGCGCCGCGAGAAAGAGTATCACGCATGATACCTGGAGGAATCGCACAGCAACGCCAGGGGAGGGAAGGGCCTGCACGGACGACCACAGGGGGTTGTCCTCAGCGTGGCAATACACAAGACAGAAAATTAGAAGACAAGAAAATCCACGAGAAAGCGCATGGATGCACGTAGGAAATGATCTGCTACAATACTGACGCAAAGAACTTCTCCGTGCTGGACAGCGCAGAAAAAGCAGGTGCTCTCGTATGTAAAGGGTTGAGTTGGTTCAGAACTCGAGTACCCAACGGCGCGTACGGTTTAACCGAAATCGGACCAATGCGTGTGCAAAAAATGTCAATTTAATGCGGGGAAACAGTCGACCGCGCTAACCGGCTGACCAATGAATGAGAACACGTCGGTCGTTTGATTGATTGGGGACTTTGTGAAGATTTGGATACATAACCTTGAAAATATACCACCACCTCTATGTCTGTCACCATCAACCATTATCACTTCGAAGGTCACAGGCAGGCAGGTCCACATTAAGCTCAACATGATTCATCAAAATTTCTTTCGGCGTCCAGGTTCGAGCGCCAACAAGGAAGACAAAAAATGTCGGGCACAAGAATGTTTTCACACACGCCCAGCACCACCACCCCCCCTGCCCTCGCACGGCAGTAGCATCAAGGAAAGAGGATGACGTACGTACCCGTTGTTCAGGGTCACAGGACCAGCCCGCCGCTCCGGCGTCGAAACCGGCGGTGAGCTCTTGTTAAGCGCCGAGGATGCCAAGCCCGTGCTGAACCTGGCGTCCGATGATCTCACGAGGCCCGCCGGAACCCGCGACGGGTCTTGCATGCCGGAGGGCCGCACGCCGTGGGTCGCGAGCGGGGCCATGGCGGGATGCGGCGGCGGCGGGGGGGCCGTGGAGGGCGGGGGCGATCCCGCCGAGGGGGACGGCGGTGTAGACGCGGCGGCGGCGGCGGCAAGCGGCGCGGGAGAGGGCCTAGCTGCTGCGGGTAAAGGCGATCCTGCGGTGTGGGGAGAGCGGAGGTCGGCGAGACGGAGATAGACGGGGTTTCGACCGAGACCACTTAACGTATTGTACCACCTTTTAGTAGCCTAAGTCGGCCTGTGACCACTCTAGGAAGAAAATACGTTAGGTCTGTACGGACAGAAGAAGGAGCGGTATAGAATGATCGGACGGGTTTTTAATGCCAAGGCAACAGCAACTACGACTAACTGTCGTTCGGGAGGTGTCGCCGCGGCGCAGCGGGTATACCAGAAGAGACCACCCTCCTTCGCCGGCTGGATGGTGCCGACGCCAGCACTGTGTGGCGTCTGGCTGGTCGCAACCGCAAACGCCCACTGTTTCATGACACATTAGAGGAGAACAGCAAGCAGCGCCCATCGCCGAACTACTCGGTCCCCATCATTGCAGGCCATCTAGTAACCAGGGATGGATGCTACACGACCCACTTGTGCGAGCAACCGGTCTGGCCAAAACTATGCCGCCGTCGGATAAAATGTGTCGAGACGACTGACTTCGCTCGGGAGTCGCCGAATAGCGTTCCGCACGGGTTTAGGGTAGATACATACCACCGAAGCAGAAAAAAACGAATCAGCGAGGGAACGCCATGTGATAGTGAACGACCTCTTACCGCGACTACAACGACGAGAAGGAATCACTACAGCACTCACCGGCACTTGAGAGAGCCTCAGGTTGTCGCCGAGGTTGGCGTTCTAGTTTCCCCTTTTAATGTTACAAAAGACCGCCGCTATGTACGCTTTCGTGTAATTCTGGACCCCGGGCTCACAAATCGGGCTCCGGTTCTTTACGTTCGTGTGACGATGTGCCCGAAGTTCTCAGCTGCCAAGGTCTACGCGCTATCTGAAGCAACAACTTGTAAACAACAGCAACAACAACAACAACAACGCAACAACAACGGAGGCAGCAGCGAAATGTGGCGACCCGTTCTCTTCTCACCGGGGATGGTTTCAACCTTGAACGGCGAGTTCTTGAAAAGCTTTGCGAAACTCCCGGCCTGATTTGCGAGAGAACGCGTGCGCGCGTTGGGCACCACGTGTTTTTTTTGCGTTTGTTGACGGACGGACGAACGAGTGGAGTCGGCCGGTATTTTTCAGATGCTTTAGCTGTAGCCTCGTCATGTCGGTTTGAGCTGGATTGGAGGGAGGATATCTGGTAGGATCCGGTTGGCAAGACGTACACCCGCGCACGGCCAGATTTGTACTGCCGCGTTGTTGCGCCGCGCTTGCCAGTTTCAAAGAGCAAACTCGTGAGCGAGATCTGAGTGTCAGAACGGTGAGGATCGTGGTGGAGATGAGAGACGAAACACATCAACAAAGAGCTACGACAGGGTCCTGCATGTACACCAAACGACATGCGGGCGGCAAACTGCGCCCGCATGCGGTGGTGCGACAAACCGTCCAGCACCTTCCTGGGTACCTGCGGCGGCAGTGCCTTACCTGCGAACCTGCGTCCACGCTCGAGGGTTGGTTGTGAAGGGGGGTTGGAACAAAATGGAAGGCGCTGGAGGGCACGCACACCATGATGACGACGAGAAAAAGAAAGACGCGAAGAGGCGCGAGAGATAAAAAGGAACATGTCTTCAGGTCGGTGTATGCGTGACACGTTGGTTTGGCGAGATGGAGGGTAAGGGATCGGAAGAACCGAGGACATATATATCTACGTGCAATATTTTAAGCCTCTAGGCCAAAAATGGGGCTGTCGTCATAAATGAAGGGGGCGGTACTTTCGTGTGTTGGGAGACGAGGAAGTTTCGATGGTGCAAATTTCTGCACGCGTTGTGGAACACAACGCCACACGATGGAGAGACGTCGAGCGAAGGCGAGCGAAATAACAACAGCAGTGCGTAGGAGCCAGTACCGGGCGGGGTAGATTACACGTACGTGCGGTTTGTGGCGGCGGGGTGTCGTTCGACGTTGTTGCAGAGTCGAGGCATAAGAAAGCAAGTAAGGCGAGCCCTGAATTAAGAAAACAATCCGGGATTGATTGCTGTGTAACCTACCGGGACGCCTTGTACCCGGTAATAACCGGTGATTCAGGTGGGTTTCTGACATGCCTCAATAAAGTAAAAACGCGTATTCGTGTTTTCTTAAGTAGGATGAAGACCAAGTGGATATGTTATGTGTGAGATATCTACATCATAACTCATCAAAATTACGCCGAAGAAATGTGACGCCACAAACTGCTGATGCCCTGCACATGACGCGAGGTCGAGAAAACGAAATACAGCCCACAAAGCAGAACGAACGGAAAAAAATGAAGGGATGTGGGGAAAATCCACCCGAAAATTGCCTATGTACTTCTTGAGCAAAACAGGTTAATTCTACCTTCAGTCCACACGATTCATTTGCATTATAGACTACAACAGCTGTATTCAAAATTTAATAAGCATGTGCACTATGTACTGCAGTAAATACAGCAGTGCTGTGACACCCGGACACACCAGAAAATACTGCTGCTGTAGACTCCACCCCACCTCTCTCTTCGGCGGACCAGCTGACAGTTGCCTTAGCGGGAGCGTCACGACGACGGCATCGACAATCCTGGTGGTCGCCCCCTGGCCGCCGCCCAGACCCGACCTTGTCGACAGCGGCAGACCCTTCCCCGTCTCGCCGGTGCCGACGACGACCCTCCTCGCCAGCTTGGACGCCGTCTTCGGCAGACCTATCCCAGAGCTCATCATCATCATGGCAATAATATCGCCTTTTATCGTGAAGGTGGTGGCTGGTGGTGTTTGTTTGCTGAGAGAGGCGTGCGTTTGGTTTTGTGCTGTGTGTGGGGGCGGGGAGAGAGGATCTGTGAATGGATCGTGCCACATCGATGGGCGCCGTCGGATATGCGGCGCGTATACCAGCACCCACCCGTCGACAGGATAGGATATGCCACCAAGCGCCGTCGGATAGGCTGCTGCTGCTGTAAGGCCGTCGGATGGAGTGTCGTCATGGAAATACCCCTTGTGTTCCGAGCCACAACATTCCGTTGTATAATCTATCCTGCGCGTGTGGACCATCTCACCATGGAATGGTCAAACTGCCTCACCAGGATCGACATCTCACTTGTGCATGATGGCGGCGCGGACAGAACGCGGTGTAAACTTGGGGCCAGCGCGATCTTGTCCCGAACCGTTTTGTTTCGGTTTCGCGGTGTTCACGCGCACACTCACACCTCGCCGCAAACGGGTGTCTCCAGCCCAGCAGAAGTGGCGGCTCGAAGTCACCGCCTCCGACCTTGAGTCTCCGGCCGAAAGCCTTCCAACCTTCGGGTGAGGCATGTAGTGTGTCCGCTGCTGCATGGGAGTCCCTCAAGGGCGGCAAACGCCGAATCTCAACGATTGTCATCGAGGTGCCGGCTGAAGGACGGCGGGTTCTTGACTAAAAAAAACGCAGACATCGTGCGAACGGACGCATTGCAACCAAACGCAGCAGCCACATCAACAACATCTATCAATAACAATATCTCAGGCAGGAACCGCAGGAGGGGGTCCAACCCCCCCCCCTCCTATGTGACCCCGGTTGGGTCGTCTAGCTAGTAGAAGTGGAGGATGGGGGCCAGAGGGGCAGACGACAGAGTCCAATGATGGGAGAAAAAAAAAAAGTTATCCAGCACAACAACGACTCCTATTACTAATGTTAGTACCATCCACCGCTACACCCTGTCTCCATCTTTGAGTACAGTCCTCTGCAGCACTAAATATGATGTACGCAAGCACCGGTCGATGTACATGTTGCACCTCTGCTTGCCGCGTGGTAGTTAAGTTGCCTTTCGGTGAGACTGTGTGCAGTAAGATTGACGAACCGAGTTGGTTCGATTGCTTGCTTGAAAGCTTGAAAGCCGTTTTTTTTTTTTACCTTCTGTTTGCTTGAAAGTTTGTTGTTTGTTTGATTGGTTGCTTGGTGTAGAGCATGCCAAACAACGTAGATAGGGCGGCTTGCTTGTAGATGCACCCAGCCGTTTCTCACCGTCCGACTGACGGTGTTTGCGTGATGCTGTGCATGCCAGTCGGTAAATATTGGGTGGATGCGACTAGTTAGCTATTTTGCACCAACGGTCCGTCCGTTTGGCGGGTTGGCTCGGTCATTAGCTTGATGTAGCATAGTCTATGCCTCATGCATTCGCATACTTTGAAGTCCCTCTCTCACGACGGCGTCGTGTATTCCCTTTGTACGGTAGGCTATGCACCCTGAGTTGACATTACTCCCCGCGTGGGCGTTCTGACAACGTTTCCCCTCAGCATCGACCTTCCCGGCCCATGCATGTTTCTTATCGATATGGCACACACGCACACATATGCCTATTACGCACGCGGCGTGCAGGGTCTGCGCCGCGTGGCGTGCACAAGCATTCATGTTCGCTAATGATGCCGCTGGGTGTTCCGTGTTTGCATGCTTTCTCGACCCGTTGTCAAATCAAAGGATCCGCGCTCCTAATGGCGCCTTGGTGAAGGCATTTTCATTCTTCAAGTCTCAATCCGTTCAAAAATGGATCAATCCGTTTCCTGATGATGCCGCTGGAATGAAGGCATTTTCATTCTTCACGTCTCCATCCGTTCTCCAAACACTAATCTGTTTCTCGCCTCGCGCGCGGCGTAACCTCTAGCAGGAAAGCAAAAGACCGAGTTGGACCAATCAGGGAGCAGGAGGACCAGAAATATCACCACCTCTACACGATCCGGCTCATTTTCCCTCCATTCCTGCAAGCAGGCTCGTGTGCCGCATAACCTCTAGCAGGAAAAGAAACAGATCGAGTTGGACCAATCAGGGAGCAGGAGGACCAGAAATGTCACCACCTCAATACGATCCGGCCCATTTTCCCTCCATTCCTGTCAGCAGCAGCGGTCCCGTCGTCGTCAACACAACAACCCATGGGGGGAAGGATAGCTACAACAGAAGCTCGAGAAGCGACAACACGACCACGACTCTCTCGCCCAAAAGGGGGCACACACGACAGTGCCGGACACGACCATCATCTGGCACGACCTCAACTCCTCGCTGTTTCTCCGCACGACTCCAAACTTGCTTCAAGGGAGGGAGGCACTCCGAGGGCTGCACTTCCCCGAACTGGCATCGGTCCCTTCTCTGTATCTTTTTCTTACAGTAACAAACCATCTCTATCCACAGACAAAACAGTCCAGGACTTTTTTTTTTTGTGACAAAAGCTCTTTTTTTATTGCTTTTATGGAGTTCTGGAAAGCAAGCTTAGTTAGCTTCGTCCAAGAAGTCTTTCCCCTCCTGTTCGCTTAGGATGCGGAACTTGCGGTCCTCCCTTACCACTCCCCCGTGAGAAAAAAAGGGGGGGGGGTCCCCGGGGGGGGGGGGGGGGGGGGATCACATTTTGCATGCCTTATCGGTTATATGCTCAAAACGTCCTCTCTGTTCCCTCCTGTTTGCCGAGTCTGCGCTTGGTCGCCCAAAAATAAAAGCGTACGCTAGGTATGTGTGCTTTATTGTGTGAACGTTGCTAGAAATCGTTTGGAACATTCCCAGAACCGGTCTTCACAATACCATTGAGAGAGAGCGGGGCACTGTTCCCTCAGGATCAGGGGGAAAGCTTGGTGAATGATGCCTCCCAAAAATGGACAACCGAACCATGTAACGAGTTCCGGGAGTGCCTTCGGCATATACAACATCCTCCGGTTTCGACGACGATCGCGACGTTGCCGGGGGTACCGCCCCCCGGCAATCTCGGAGACCCTGCGCTGCACTTCGTCCTTGTACATGCGGTATGTAATACATAGAACAACATACAGCAGTAGCAGTGGTTCCCGGTATAGTGTCCTCGTGCATGCGGCATGTATTCCATAGAAGGACATACGGTAGCAGTGGTTCCCGGTGTAGTGTCGGCTGCCCTGTGTAATGCCGGTGAAATCGCCTGGCACAGACAGATGGAATATTGAACTTTCTACTCTGAATGAATGCCGGGACCACGAAAAAAAAAAAAAAGAAGAGAGCCCCGGTGTTTACCCCCCTCCTGTGTGACCCTGGATGGTTGTAGTTGCACCAAAAATACACGAAAAGTGTATTATAGTACACGAAAACGGGGCGACTGTATTTGTAGCCATAATAAATACCACGAAAAAAAACAACAACTAGTGTACCTCGATGTTCTTTTCCGTCATCTCCCCCTCAAAACCCTCCCGCATCGTCAGCAGCGCAGTGTGTACCGCATCATCCAGCTCGGCTTCCTCGGAGAACCTGAAAAAAATAATAAAATAAAATGGTACAGGTGTGCGTGCGTATTTGTTCTTATTTTAGTATCAGCGTCGACCGCGCTGCTAACCGACTGGCCAATGAAAATACGTCAGTGTCAGTGCGCTTTGAAAGTAAAAAAATGCTTCTAAAGAGCACAAAATGTTTCTAAAGCCTATACCGCCGTGGTCTGGTACTCCGTGAGGGGGGGCAATGCTACTCTCCGGATTAACGACAGATGCCGTGTGTGACGTGTGTGCCTTTGTTTGCAGGATCGACCGTCCAGCAGTGCTAACCCGCTGACCCATGAGAAGAAGACGCCAGTCTCGAGGCGGCAACAAAGTCTACATTATTTTATTAATCGTTTTTTCAGGTGTCAATAACAACTACAGCAAGGTCTCCACACATCCATTTTGGATGTGTGTTCTGTTTTCGTTTTGAGGTATTTAATATTTTTCAGTTATGGGGACGCAGGATATCACCAATCATCTGCACCACGTCAAAAAAAAAATGGAACCGTTACGGCCCGTTTTTCCAGGCCCGTCCGTCGTTGGCAACCGGTCACCTACGGTATCTTCCTGTTACCCGTCGAGGCTTGCTCAGCAGCTTTTCACGCGGCTGTCGGGACGCGCACCGGATAAACAGGGTCCTTCAGAGCTCCCTCGAGATCGAATACTAAGGGCCATTGTTATCAGAGCGCTATTTTCGTCCAAATGTTTTTCAATTTTTTGTAGTGCTTCCAAAGCCAGCGTTCCAAAGTTTTGGGACCCTGTGTGCAATTTTTCTAAAACACTTCAAAACTTTTTTTTAAGTTTTCCATGGCTCCCACACTTGTGAAAGCACCAAATTTGGAATAAAAAAAAAACAGTCGTGTGATAAAAGCGGCCCTAAACGCGCCCTTTCGCGGCTTCTGAACAAAGCAAAAGCACGTGGACTCACCGCTTCTCCAAGAAATTTTTTGCGTTGACGAAGTTCTTGCCGATGGCCGTCGCCTTCCACCCGAAGTAAGCCCCGGAGGGATCCACCTGATTGGCCGACGGCAAAAGAAAGAATTACAGTCCAGTGATAGTAACACTGTTGGTGAGTATGCTGTTGTTCAACCCGATGGTAAATGAAGCCGCGAATCGATTAAGTTTGTTGTTGCTATCTTATCTTCGAAAAAAAAAAAAAGGAGGGATCTACCTGATTGGCCAATGGCAAAAGAACAAATTGCAGCAGTCCAGCGTCGGTAGTCCAGTGCAGCAGGTGGCCCGATACATTGGCATGTAGGGACAAGAGGAGAATATGGCACCATGTATTCAGGGCAGTGCCACCATTCGCTATAACGGGTTAAGTACATTTTGAGATTGTGATTCAGAGGAATCTTTGTGACACTATATCGGCAGTTCCACTATTCAAGTTGCCACTTATCGGGCCACCTGCTGAGCTACTGTTGGTGCTGTCGTTGTTGTTGTTCAACCCGTTTGTAAGGGTGATACAACGAAGACGCGAATTGATTAAGCATTTGTTGTTGTTACCATCTTCGTAGAAAAACGTCCTGGTCTCCGCTCAGTACCTTCAAAAAAAACGAAAAAAAAAAAAAAAGTGGTCCAACTGACGCGGACGACTTCAGTGGTCAGGGACTACACTATCCAAAAAAGTCAAGTACACCCTTCAATGAAAAAAAACGAACTGAGTCAAGCAGCCAGCCCGTTGTGTGTCTCGCCACTTGCTACTGTGGAGAAACTCAACAAAACCCTTCGATCGGTGCCTTGTCTCGAACGGCGTTGTAGTCCCAATACCGCTGTGTGGTGGCATGTATGTCGTAATTTTTCTTTACAAGCACTTACAACAACAACACCAACACCACCAATACCACCATCATCATCACCACCAACAACAACAACAGCAACAACAACAACCAACAGTAACAACAACACCAACGACACCAACAACAGCACCATCATCACCAACAACAACAACAACAACAACAACAACCAACAGTAACAACAACAGCAACACCACCACGAACAACAGCAACAACAACAACAACAACAACAACCGCACCTGGTAGAGCTGCGGTCCGTCGTCGTCATAGCCCGCCACCAGCAGCGACACCCCGAACGGCCGGACTCCTCCCCTCTGCGTGTACTCCTGCATCACTCCCGCCGTATCCCGCACCAGCTGCCCCACTGGCTGAACCTGTCGTGTGGTGCCACGTCAAAAGTCGTGCGGGGCAAAACGGCGTTAGAGTTTTCCGAAGAAAACTTGATACTGGCTTCTAATCGTCATGTGTACACCGAGCACGCGCTTTGAGACTTGGCGCCGGAATACATGGGAACGAAAACGATCAAAACGACCAACCGAAGGGCATCACAGCGAGCAGGGACTCTCTCTTTCTCTCTCTCGCCCCCTCTCTCTCTCCATGTACCCCTCCGTCTCTCTCTCTCTCTCACGCGCGCGTGCGCGCGCCGTCGCTCTCTTTCTCTCTCGCTTCAAACATCGCTACCAACACCAGCAAACAACAGCAGCAGTCTCAACGACAACGCAGGCCACACGACTACCGCCAGCCTGCAAGCCCCGGCCCAAACACGGCCATGTCTCCCTCAGAAAGCGGCTGCTACTACTGTACCACGACGACGACGAATGCTCGCGTCGCCGACTACCCGTACATGTCGGAGAGATGGCACCGGCATGTTCGCGTTATTCTTATTTCGTGTTTCTCTACAACCAGGGGGTACGCTACCACTGCCGAAAAGGGCACGGTAGTTTCGGAAACATCTCGTCGACGGCTTTCCTGAGAGGTACACCGGTTGGTGTTCGCACCCTCCTATAATAGTTGTCGAGAAATACGCTACTTCGTATTTAAAAAAAACGGTTAACACGCGGGTGCCATCTCTCCGACTCTTACGGTACTAACCTCCCGACACGACATTTTTTTGGATAAGTCGACCGACTTTCGTCTCCCGTTGAACCTCCCCGTAGTATGTGGGATGCCGTAGTTTGCGTAAGATACCACGCCCCGTGGACCGATTTTCAAAGCTTGATTACTCCACGACCAAGAGGATGCCGAAGGCAGAAGACTCGTGCTCGGAAAGCTCTCGACGCGACGGTTCCAACTCCGCCATTTCCGGCATCGTTACTGCTTTCCACGCCGACCAATCAAGCTGTGAAGATCGGTCCAGGGGGTGTGGTATCTTACGTCATTTTTTTTTTTTTTTGTCTTCACTTCAAATCAGCGCTCACAGCACTAGTGCCGTTTACTCCATCTGACCCGTGGTCACACAGAAGAGCCCCTCTCTACCCTCCCCTCCTGCGGTACTCTGCCTTCGATTTTTAATGCGAGAAGAGTTCAGCACTCTCTTCCCTCTGTGTACACACGAACGAGCGCTATCCACTAGGCCAGGAGCGGAAGCGAGAGAAAAACTCACTTTGCAAGAAAAGCTCGCTTACGCCGGGATTCGAACCCCTGATCTGACCTCTAGAAGGTTTCGCGGATACCAACTAGACCACCGGGGCGACCGGCGTTGCAACCTACGGTAGTCACATGACGTCGCGGTCTGTGCTTCCGACTACAGCGGGGAGCGCTATTTCGCTCCCCATAGAATTTGACAGGCACTACTATATTGTACCGGGTACCGGCACTAAACAGCCCCCCCCACATGGTACATAGTTGTAACACTCACGCGTGTGACGTCACATATGGTGATGTCCACCACCACCACCACCAGACCAACCCTCCCGTGCAACTTCACGTGGTGGGGCATCAAAACTGTGGCGTTGCTGTTCCCCACCACTAATACATACACAAAAAAAACGCTAAACCTCCCGATATATGTTGTAGTAGGTCTGGGCCTGCTTGTTGTTCCCTACAACTAAACACATACACAAAAAAACAACTAACCTCCCGATAATGATGTAGTAGGTCTGGGCCTGCTTGTTCCCCACCACAAAAAAACATACACAAAAAAACACTAACCTCCCGGTATATGTTGTAGTAGGCCTGGGCCTGCTTGTTCCCCACCACTATACATAAAAAAAACAACTAACCTCCCGGTGAATGTTGTAGTAGGTCTGGGCCTGCTTGTTGTTCCCTACAACAAAACACATGCACATACTATACATCAACAAAAAACACTGACCTCCCGGTATATGTTGTAGTAGGCCTGGGCCTGCTTGCGGCTCTTTCGGGCGAGCACCCGATAGTCCGGACCCAGGCCCGAGTACACGAAACCCGTCGAGGGGGTCACCAGGGAGATCTTGGACACCTCGTCGCTGTCGATCAGGACCGACGGGAGCTTCTTCTCCGTCACGATCACCACGCCGTTCGTCGCTGCGG